TTTTATGAGTGATAAGAGGTTTTGGTTCCAGGGCCCAGAACAAACACCATTAATGGGTAATCCCCTTTCAGCCTCCCCGCGAGGACCATCAGTGCAAAGTCTACACGAGGATACAAATCAGAGTAGGGACAAAGGAACGCAGGTTACATAGATTTAACTGGGGAAGCTTTCATTACCCTAATCTTCACCTTAGGACCTAATGCTCTAACGCAGGAACTGGCTGCCTTCAGCCTGTCCCATAAGTCAATGAAAACCATTCAGGCTTCCGAAAGGTTAGAGACCATAATCTTATAACCTTCCCCTAATATTTCCCTTAACATTTTGCCAGCCACCCTAAGTGAATCCCAACACTGACTCCCCCTTGAATTTCTTCCTGGGCACAGCCAAGAACCCTCCTGGCTAAGCCCCAGTTTGGAGGCTCACCTGTCCTATGTCATCAGGAACCTGGGTCTCTGAGTGACAGAAGGGAGCTGAGCCTCCCATCGACCTACATTGGTCTATGGCATGAGCAAGAAAACTTTCATTATGCTAAGCCGTGATATTAGAGAACTCTTTCTTACGGCAATTAGCCAGTGGAGGCGATGGAGGCTGCAGATAAATTTGGGACCCTGCAATCAAAATTCAGGTGACCTGACAAAGGATGCCACAGGAAGTACATGACCACAAGAACTGAGGGGACAATGCCCAGTCTGTGGGAAGCCACGACTGAGAGGCAACTCCTGGGATGAGGAGTGGGGAGCCCGGAGTTGGCTGGGCCCTCACTGGGCTGACTACATCCAAGTCTCTGCCAAGGGTCCTACTGGGGGCTCCAGAGAAAGGAAGAGCTCCGTGATAGAAAATAAAGAACTTGGTACTGTCCGCCTCCTGATGCCGGAGTCTGCAGAACTCATGCATGTGGTGTTCGTCTCTGTTACAAACAAGCCATCTGGAAGCCACCTATTTCCAAACCAAACCAAGCTGTGTTTGTTGGGCTGATCAAGCTGTTCTTGTCAGGAATTCCTTTCTGGACTCACTTTTGATTGTTTAGAACATGTGTTCTTGATCCAGTTCCCTGTGGCAGCCCACAGGGGCCTCAGAAAGAGGGCAGGGTGGGGTTGATTTTTCCCATGACACCACTGGGGAAAGAGAGACTGCCAAGGGGGAATGCCTGGCCTTAGGGAACCCAGAAGGCAGAGGGGAGCCCCCGTCTCCTCACTCCCAGAGCCAGGCCCTGTCCCCGTCAGTGAGTGGGTGGGAGGACCCCCATCCTCCCTCACGTCTGGTTCTCACCTGGGACCCCACACGGCTGAACCTTGGGGTGGGATTGGGGAGATCAGGACTCAACAAGAAAACTTGTTTCAGCGAAGGGTTGAACTATCAGCGTGGACTCTGCTACTGGAGTGCTATGATTATTCACGAGGGAATCTCCATCACTCTCGTGTGGCCAGAGGGCTGGACCGCTCCTGGTTGGATCCAGAGTTTGTGGGATGTAAAATTTATACGGGATTTGGGGCGTTTTTAAAGGGGGAAGAAAAGAAGGAAGGAAAGTTACAAGTACAAAATTAGGTATGAAAATGAATGATTATTTAGAATGAGAAAGTAAATGAAACATTGTTTTAAAGCAAGGTGACAGCACAAACTTCATAAAATATCAAAAACCCTTTAATGTTTTGAATAATTAGCTGCTTAACTAACCTTTCTAATATTTGTCCTACATTTTTTGGCTGAATACTGTTGCTCGGTTCTTCATAGGTCAATTTTGTACATTTTCTATGGAGAAAAGAGAAAGATAATTGTATTTTTTCCTCATTGATTGGATTTATTTTAAGTCATTGATAGCTGGATATATAAAACATGCAACTTCACACAGAGACATTTTTCTCATTTGTATTCCTGCTGTAGCATTTTGGAAACGAAAACTGAGTGTCTGATAAAAATGGTACTTTACACATTTCCCAGAGAAAAGAGGTATGGTATGTGTTCTGATTCCACATGCTGCATGAGCAAGCATCTCACTAACAGGTGAGACCTGTTCTGAGCAGGCACCCAGGAGAACAGAACCCCCAACTCGGAATTGTCCACCTGCGGATCGGAGGATTTTTCTTTAAGCTAGTTTCTGATTCTGTACATTTCTTTTTTTTTTTTTTTTTTTTTTTGTTGGAATCTGGTTCCGTCACCCAGACTGGAGTGCAGTGGCGTGATCTCGGCTCACTGAAACCTCTGCCTCCTGGGTTCAAGCTATTCTCTTGCCTCAGCCTCCCGAGTAGCTGGGACTACAGGCATGCAGCACTATGCCTGGATAATTTTTTTGTATTTGTAGTAGAGATAGGATTTCACCATGTTGGCCAGGCTGGTCTTGATCTCCTGACCTCGTGATCCGCCTGTCTTGGCCTCCCAAAGTGCTGGGATTACAGGCGTGAGCCACCGCGCCCGGCGTGTGTTCATTTTTTCATGCAGTGCTTTCCACGATGCCCGGGAGCTGGCACAGCAGGCGGTGGGAACATTCCTGAGGGCCATTCCTACCCTGGGATGCTGGAAGTTGTCTAACCACACACGGAAGTGATCAGAAACCACATACATGGACCTCACTAAGCCCAAACTGCAGGGACCCCCTAACTCCTCTTCCACTCAGCCCCATTCTGCCAAATACCTGTAGGGACACCAGCGCCACCTGACCTAAAGTGGAGTGTGATGGAGGAACCGGAGTAGAAGGTGTAACAGACATATCATTTTGTAAGTTTTTTGCTGTTGTTTTGGTGACGGAGTCTTGCCCTGTCTCCAGGCTGGACTGCAGTGGCGCAATCTCGGCTCACTGCAACCTCTGCCATCCAAGTTCAAGCGATTCTCCTGCCTCAGCCTCCAGAGTAGCTGGGACTACAGGCATGCACCACCATGCCAGGCTGATTTTTTTTTTTTTTTTTTTTTTTTTTTTATCGAGATGAGGATTCCCCATGTTGGCCAGGATGGTCTCAAACTCCTGACCTCATGATCAGCCTGCCTCGGCCTCCCAAAGTGCTGGGCTTACAGGTGTGAGCCACCGCGCCCAGCCCACTTCATAGGTTTTATCGGAACATAAATTGTGTGAACAATTTCTGGGGCTCCTCCCCTTGCAAATGAGGTGCCCTGTGGTAGCCACTGACTGCTAAGGAGCAAGATGGTCCTTGTACCAGCTGTCAGCTTTAGACTGGGCTGCTTTGTTGCTGCCCAGATTGGAGAAGGGTCATGGAGCATGGGTTCTGTAGTCAGAAGAGATGGGTTAGGTCCTCAAGGGGACAAAACACGGGCCTCTTGAGCTCTAGGGCTATAAAGCACTGTACAGGCATCAGTTACTCTTGTTCAAGGCCAGTGCCGGTACCCAGCGCTCTGCTCGATGCCGGGATGACTGATGAACAGCTGCCACCCTGCCTCGCATGTCTCTCCGGGACACACAGACCTGGGGGGCTGAGCCCTAGATGGGAAAGTGGGTGACCCAGGAAAAGAAAGCACTCAGAGGTCATTTCTCCTTCTGGGAGGGCTGCATAGCCCCCAGCCCAGGGCAGTGGACACCCGGAGAGAGCCTGGGAAGGGGAGTCCTGTCCAGATGTACAGTCTCCGCGTCCCCATGAATGCCATCGCCCACCACGGCACAGAAGAGCAGGCTGTGGGAGTTGATTCCAGGGGTGTGTTTGACAGCTTACTGATGAGCTGTCTTCTCCTGTCTCAGGATCTGACCTGTGCCCTGGCTGGCTCAAACCCCCGATCTTTTGGGAGGAGACTGAGAATTGCTTCGGAAAGACGCCAAGAGAAAGAACAAGATGATTTCCCGCTTCTGACCTGGAAAGCAGGAGTTCGCAGCCAGGTGCCGGCCTTGCAGGCCAGGCTGCGCTCTGCAGACAGGATCGCTCCCCTCCTGGCTCTCCTCCTCCCCCCTCACCTCTTTAAGTCCAGGACTGGCTCTGCAGGGACCTTCTGTCGTGCACCCCCTCCACACAAGCCCTGAGCCTGGAGGCTGGATGCTGGGTGGGAGGAAAGGGCTGTGATGTGTGGAAAGTGCTAGAAACATCCAAGCCTCGTTCTGGCCCAGGGGGTGGTGGGAGGGAAAGCGGGAGGGAGGAGAGTGGAACCGGCTGATGTGTGGCCCGGATGTTCCCTCTTTGGGCTTTTGGGCAATGTGAGGGGGCCCTGGGAGGGCCAGGCAGTCAGGTACAAGACTCTGGCTCTGGGGGACACTACCTGGCAGGCTGCCCTCCACCGCCTGGGGCACTGTCCCATCAGCGTCCACTGGAGTGACCGCCAGTAAAGCCAGGCCAAGGCTCTTCCCTTCCCAGTGCATCCTGGAGGAAAGTGAACAGCCCTGCTCTGGGTGTGAGGGGTGACAGGGCAAGGCAACCTCATAGCAAAGGCCAGGGGTCAAGGGCTGGCCAGGGGTCAGAGGGACAGTGGGACAGAGTCTCATGGCCCGCGGCCACTGAGATCTGGGCCAGCGACAGTGACACCATTTACTCGGAGACTGCAGGCACACCTGGGGGAAGGGGTACGGGGGCACCACCTCGATGGCCAATTGGTGCCACCCAAAGACCAGCATAGGGCCACAAGGTCACCCGAGGTCACCCGCCTCCTAGACGAAGGTGCCGTCTTAGGCAGAGAAGGTGGTTGGCAGGAGGAGCTTTCATATTCAAAGGAGACGCCTGTTACTCAGCCACAGATAACCAGCTGAAAGCAGGGTAGGGCTAAAAGCTAATATTTCCCCCCAGCCAGATGATCTGCTACAAACAAAGAAATGACATCTTAACTCCCAGCAGGGTCGTGTGGTGAGATCCAGGACACAGGTGGTGTGGGGAGCTTTGACAGGCAGGGAGGTGACCCCACATGCAGCTGCAGAGTCCTTGGGGCTCCCCCAGGCAGGCTGGCCCGGCACTTGGCAAGGACGGAGTGGGAGGCAGCTCAGGGCTCAGGAATCTCCAGGGCACGGGCTGTCACAGATGGGAAGCGCCTGTGGGCGGCTCTCAAGGCCCCATCTCGTTGGTGGCCGTGGTGGGCATCTACTCACTTTCCAGCTCGGGCTCCTCGCGAAGCGCCCGCTGGAGCACAGCCCCCAGGGACCCCTGCAGCCTGTGGCTCCTCCGGCTGCCCACCAGGAAGTAGATGACGGGGTTGGCGCTGCTGCTCACGGACGAGGAGAGGCGTGACAAGCCAAAGCTCAGGAACATCACCTCGGGCGGCAGCCGCAACCAGAACAGCAGAAACCAATAGAGGCCCAGGGGCAGAGAGCAGACGAGGAACACCAGGACAGAGGTCAGGGTCACCACAAACAGCCGAGTGGGCCGCCGCCGCCACTGCTGGGAGCTCCTACGCACCCGGACGAAGAGGGTCAGGCTGGACAGAGTCATCAAGGGGGTAAAGACCCCCATGATGAGGGAGGCCTGGGCCATGTCCATCCTGAAGCACCACTTTTCATCGAATAGCAAGAACTTGCTGCAGAAGGAAGAGGTCACCCCGTTCATCAGGAGACACAGCACCCAGAGCAGGGTGCACACCCAGGCTGACAGGTGCTGGGGCCTGTGACACTTGAACCAGATGGGGAAGAGGACGGAGAGACAGCGCTGCGTGCTGATGGCCGTCAGCAGGCTCAGGCCCGCAGTGTAGCCAAGGTACTTGAGCCTCTTCATCAGCTCGTAGACCTTGTTGACAGTGCTGGCCAGGGGCTGGGTTTCCAGGCTGAGCATGGAGGCCATGCAGAAGAGGAAGAGGAGGTCGGCTGCCGCCAGGTTGAGGATATAGATGTAGAAGGGGGTCCTGCGCGTGCGAAAGCCCAGCAGCCAGATCACCATGCCGTTGCCTGCCATCCCGCACAGGCAGGTGAACATGGCCAGGGTGCTCACCACCAGGTATACCGTGTACACCACGCTCCCTCGGAAATGGTTTAGGGCCGGCTCCGCGGTCCTGCTGTTGTTCAAAGTCTGGTTCATCCCTACGAGAGGAAGATGCATCAGTACGAAATTCTGTGTCGCTGGGACCATGGGGGATCCCTGGGAGCCCCTCGAATTTCCAGCTTCGGAGCTCTCCCTGTAGATTCTTTATGCAACAGACCACTACCGGGAGGCTTAACATTTCACCACTCCTGGGACTCGCTCGGCCCAAGTCTGCTGCCAGGGTCACCTTTATAGCTACAAAGTTGTTATCAATGCCCTTTATCAGGTTAAAAAATTCTCTTCTGCCGGGCGCGGTGGCTCAAGCCTGTA